GTAAGACATTTTTATTTTTTTATTTTTTTATTTTATGTTTTTTTTTTGTATTATGTTTTGTTTGTGGTGATGGTGGTGGTGTTTTATGATGTTTTCTCTTTATTTTTGGGTATATTTATTTGAAAGGGAGAGAAGAGAGAGTGGAGAGGGGAGGAAGGAGAAGGGGGAGAGAGAGAGAGATAGATAGACACACAGACACTGGCAGACAGAGAGCTCTCTGGCTCAGTTGCTTGTGTATTTGGGAATGCCCTCGCCACTGACATCCTCAAAGGGCACGGGATCAGATGAACTTGACCTAGTTCGAGCTGGGCGTGGCACGAGTGACCTGACCTGACAAGGGCGGGGCAGGCGAGGCAAAGGTCGTCCGTCGGCAGGACAACACCAGGCAGGCGGCGCCCGAGTGTCTCTTTAACCTTCCTCAAGGTCGGCTGTGACGTCATCACACTTCTCCTGTCTTTCCCCTCCCCCCTCCTCCACGGCGCTGTTGTGAATACCTGTGTTCATTTCAGTTAAAGTGAGTGTGTGATTCGTGTTTACTCTTTTCCGTGTGCTGAGTGTACGAGAGGGTGAGTGTTAAGCAGAGGAAGAGGAAGGTGTCAAGGAAATGAGTTGACACAGTGTCAAGGAGTCAAGGAAGTGGCATGAAGGGTGTCAAGAAAATGATACATTGGTGTCAGGCAAGGCTGTGGGGAAAAAAAAATTAAAGCGGAGACATGACGGGTGTCATGCAGAGATACACAAGTGTCAGGCAAGAAAGAGAGAGGTGTCAAGTCGGGCCTTAGAAATGTCAGGCAAGGACAAGCAGATTGTCAAGCAGGAACGAAAATAGCATTCAGCAGAACATTAAGGTGTTAAGCAGAGACATAAAAAGGGGTGGGAGAGGTAGGAGGGGGGGGAGGGGGCGCGAGAGAGAGGAGGGGGCGCGAGAGAGAGGAAGAGGGGCGCAGGCAGGTAGTCAGTTCATGGGAGCCACTTCTTATAAACTCTCATCACTATTAATAGGTATTATTGATACAGCCGTTGCTTGGGACTATGAGCCGTTATAGGACCGTGAGTCTGGGAGTCTCTCGTGTGGGTGAATAGCAGGACGGATAAGAGAGGGAGGTAGGGAAAGGGAGGAAGGTAGAGTGACGGAGGGTGATGGAAGCAGGAAGATTGGGGGTGGGAGGGAGGGAGATGGAGGTTGTGAAGAAAATGATAGAGGGTGGAAAAGGAGAGAAGGATATAGAAGGGGGGACTAGGGAAAGGAAGAAGAAAGGGCGAGGAAAGAAGGAAAGAGAGAGGGGGAGTGGGGCGGAAAAGGAGGAGGAGGAGGGGGGGGGGAGAGAAGGAAAGAGAGGAGGGAGAGTGAGAAGGAGAGGGGGAGGCAAGTGAGTTGAGAGGGGGGGAGAGAATGAAAAGGAATGTAAGGATAAGAATGAGTGAGTGTTTGTAGGAAAGAATGAGATTGATAGAAATAGAGATAAGGTGTGGCTAGGACAGAATAAGGAGGGGAGAAAGGGGGAGAGGAAGAGTAAACTAATGGCAGATGAAAATAAAGATCAATTGAATAACTATTCATACAGTCTAAACTCCCCCATACACATATACACATATATACACACACGCACACATACATAAAAAACCCCTTCCCCCTACACATACACACCCTCACACACACACACATATACACTTTTCATTTTCCCAACACACGCTTTTCCCACACACGTACACACACAAACACACACAAACCATTCCCAGAGTAAACACATCGCAAGGAGGAAGACTGGAGTGCGCGGCGACGGCAGAGATGACCAAAGCGTCCGCATCCCAAATCAGTTTAGTCACCCCGACAAAAAGGCCTCCGGTAGGGCTTCTTACGGCGCCTGTCCCTTGTTGAACGGTCGGCGTGAACCGGGGCTTCTTCGGGAGGATCTTATGTACATACGGCCTGGTGGGAGTGCGGCACACAACGCGGGTGACCGGTTTGGAGGGAAGTTGTTAAATGGTTAATGAAAATTTAATATCTGCATGCGTGTACACGCACGTAGGCCATACGCACGAACGTACGGACCTCCCTACACGCGCGCGCGTACACGCACACGCACACGCACACGCACACGCACACGCACACGCACACGCACTTCTCTCCTCGCCTCTCTCTCCCTCCCACCTTCTTCCCTCTTCCTCTCTCTCACGTTTATACATACATTCATACTTGCAGTTTTGTGTGCGTATGTTGATTTGTGTGTACATGTGTGTGAGCCAGAGAGCAAAACGTATGTATGTGTGCATGTGCGTATTTGCCAGAAAAAAAAAAACAAGAAAGAAACTGTTCACGTTAAGTTTGATATCGTGCATTATGCAGGATGAAAATAGTTCAGTGTTCCAGAAGTTTTCCTTGGCATTTACCAAAGAAATGCATCATGTTTGTGACGTAAACAATGTGCCTAACAACGTCGAGGTTAACAGGTTAGGATTTCAAGATGAACAGCATGCATTTTATAATAATTAATGATAATGATAATAATTTAGAGTTTGGTGTGACAGGCTCTTGTGGCTTCAAATATGCCTGTGTGTTTATTGTGCTATTAAATAATCCCCTGTGTGCAAGGAATGGCCGGGGTTACCATCCACTGGCGGTGCAACATTGCTAGACGAGGACGCTACCACTGCACCACACAGCAGACAAAATAAATATCTTTTATCTGTTGTGTGACGTAAGTAACAATAAGAAAGGCCAAGGTGTTGAGACCGCGGTTTTAGATCAACTCTGCGCATTTTTTTCGGGTTTTACATAATGATTTGTAACTCTAATAACATCAGGTGAACGGACTTGAAATTCGGAGGGTCATAGGGTACGCCGCGCCAGGCCTAGTTCTGTCTCGCGTTACGTAACTTTGTTTTTATTATTTAATAGTATATTTTTTTTAATTGTGGAGAAAGAAATAAAGAGGACTAGAGATAGAAAAGCTAAAGAGGAAGAGGGAGTATATGAGTGAGAGGGAAAATGTATGAATGATATTTGTAAATATGTATGAGAAAGAGAACGAGGGAGAGGTGTATATGTGTATATATATATACACACACATATACACACATACATATACATATACATATACATATACATATGCATATACACATATACACATATACACATATATACATATATACTTATATACTTATATACATATATACATATATACATATATACATATATACATATGTGTATATGTATATATATGCATATATGTGTGTTTGTGTGTATATATATATACATACATACATATTAGATATATATTTGTACGTATGTATATGTGTATACATAAATACATATTTACATACATACGTATATGTATGTATGTATGTATATATACATATATACATATATACATATATACATATATACATATATACATATATACATATACATATACATATACATATACATATACATATACATATACATATACATATACATATACATATACATATACATATACATATACATATACATATACATATACATATACATATACATATACATATACATATACATATACATATACATATACATATACATATACATATACATATACATATACATATACATATACATATACATATACATATACATATACATATACATATACATATACATATACATATACATATACATATACATATACATATACATATACATATACATATACATATACATATACATATACATATACATATACATATACATATACATATACATATACATATACATATACATATACATATACATATACATATATACATATATACATATATACATATATACATATATACATATATACATATATACATATATACATATATACATATATACATATATACATATATACATATATACATATATACATATATACATATATACATATATACATATATACATATATACATATATACATATATACATATATACATATATACATATATACATATATACATATATACATATATACATATATACATATATACATATATACATATATACATATACATATACATATACATATACATATACATATACATATACATATACATATACATATACATATACATATACATATACATATACATATACATATACATATACACATACATATACATATACATATACATATACATATACATATACATATACATATACATATACATATACATATACATATACATATACATATACATATACATATACATATACATATACATATACATATACATATACATATACATATACATATACATATACATATACATATACATATACATATACATATATACATATATACATATATACATATATACATATATACATATATACATATATACATATATACATATATACATATATACATATATACATATATACATATATACATATATACATATATACATATATACATATATACATATATACATATATACATATATACATATATACATATATACATATATACATATATACATATATACATATATACATATATACATATATACATATATACATATATACATATATACATATATACATATATACATATATACATATATACATATATACATATATACATATATACATATATACATATATACATATATACATATGTGTATATGTATATATATATATAAACACACACACACACATAGAGATAAGAGAGAGAGAGAAGAGAGAGAGAGAGAGAGAGAGAGAGAGAGAGAGAGAGAGACATAGAGGGAGAGAGAGAGAAACATAGAGGGAGAGAGAGAAACATAGAGGAGAGAGAGAAACGTAGAGGGAGAGAGAGAAACGTAGAGGAGAGAGAGAAACGTAGAGGGAGAGAGAGAAACGTAGAGGGAGAGAGAGAAACGTAGAGGGAGAGAGAGAAACGTAGAGGGAGAGAGAGAAACATATGAAGGTCCAGACTCCAGACAGACCAGTGGTCGACGCGGCACTGGGTCGGTCCCGGCACGTACGCATCGACGCTGTC